AGTTTATAAAGAATATCATTCTATATTAATTGCATTATACTGATCACCAGGATTCTCTAACTTTCCAACGTATACTTGTATAAATCCGCATGTCTTTCTGAGAACTGTCTTTACATAATGTTAATACAACTGCTCCAGCAGATTTTAAAATGAAATAATTTTCCTTCTATTGTAGAGTTCTTTACCTCATTATTTATAATTATTCTTGAATAACGAACGTAGTCAAGTTTGACAATCAATGTATGTAACTGACGAAGGCGACCATCGAGTAAGCAGAGACAATCATCAAAATTATGTATTCTAATACGTAAATGAGCGACAGTGGAAGAATAACATCTTGTAGGAGATAAACCACTCAGTAATCGTCGTGAATAGAGATTACCATCAATACTATCTAAATCCAAATATTGTAAATTTGATAGCCAAGAAAAAATGGCAACATAAGTTTGACCTATTGTAATCTCTGTTGATTTATTGCAAGATATATCAGTAAGCGTCATCGTTAAATGTGAAATTTGATGTTTGTAGGCACGAATAAATAAGGATTTTTCTAAAAATATACAAATAAAAAATTGTTCACTACTATTGATTGAGGATCGAGAAATGAATTAACATACTATTAAAAATATGAAAAGCCATATCCATTTCGAGATTGAGCTTGTGTAAGTTAGGATAGTTGTTAGAATGAAGAATACGTTGAAGCAACGATGCTTGAATGCTAAGAGATTCCACATTATTATGAATTCGAGGCAATATCTGTGTGTGAAATCGATCAACCATGGCATTAAATCTCGAATCACTTGTGTCATTTGGTGATATTGTCATTAGATTAATATCTTTAGTAAAACAAATATCACATACAATCTTGTCGAGTTTTGGATTAATACCTATCAGTGAATATAATAAATCAACATTGTTAAGTTTATTGAAAATAATAATCAATATTTCGTCAGGTAAATCAAAAATGTTAACATTCAGACTACTCATATTCATTGAAATTAACAATGATCCTATATTCTGATATAGTTCATTATATAGACGTGCCCTTAGCCGTCCGCGCCGACAATGTTCATTATCACATTGTGAATGCGGTCAACTATGTTCACGTATGAACGAATTCGTTATGTCTGACGGCCGTTTAGATAAATTTAATGTGATAGAAATAGACAGAAAATTTCTAAATTTGTTTGTGTAAACAACAGTGACTTCTCTTTTTTTATTTCACTTTCTGATAAAAGTTTCATCACAAAACATCTAATCTCTTCTCTATGGATTAGTACATTTCATTTCTCAAAATTTTGTGAATTCATCTGCTCAAACAATATATCATAGTCACTATTTTTCGATTATATGCGAGAATTTTATCAAAATAGTACAAATAGTCTATTGATATATATGAAGAAACCATCAAAGCATTGTCAAGATTTGTATCCACTTATGCACTTTGTATGGTGGATGGAACTCATTTTTAAGAGTTGATATTTTACACAAAAATAGTTCATTCCAGATCATTGTCGATTGTGATGTTAATTATTTCTGATCCATAAAAACCAACGAGTTTATGTGACGGCATCTATTGCTTTAACATGTCGTTGGTAATTGTACCACTTATGGTGATGGTTTATACGATGTATTGCTATAACAATCAGCGTCTCTACCTTCATCTATCTAGTAGGGTTGGATTTTATCGAAAAACAAAAACATAATTTCGAAGAGACTCTTTTTTCAGTGATTTCTGTCATATATTTATTTTCTGATGTCTCTACTCGAATCAGATGTTGTCCATCGTAGTACACATTCGACAATGATTGGCATTTCTTGTATAGCTTTATATCATCAAACCATGTACTAAAACGGACACATAAACATTGAAGAGGTTCGCTATTATGAACTGCTAACGGATAAGGATAAAGATGTTTATGTTTCTAATTATGATAGGACTGAATTGAAGAGAAGGAAAATAGGAGATAAAGATAAAACAATCGTAGCAAGTGGAAATTCAAGAGTAAATTATCTCAATCAACTCAAGTATCCTCCTACTGGTATCTTTGTTGAGAAAGATGGCTCATTCTACGTATCGGATAGGTTAATCATGTGATGAAGTGAATAAAAATTATGAAAGGAGTTATTGTTGCAGACGGAAATAATCGAGACAATGAAATGGCACATGTCATATCCTGGAGGAGAAATTGTCGATCAGTTAGATCAGATCTATGTAGTAGACATGCACCAAATCCAAACGGTTTGGGTTTGGTGAGTTTGGTTTAATAAGTTCGGTTTTGATCAATGAGTTTGAGTTTGAGTTTGGTACATGTCTACTATGTAGTAGATAATCACCATAATCGAGTGATGTGCTGGTAAACTGAAGGAACTATGGTTTATGCTAAACATGGAAAAGAAGAATAATTAAAACAGTTGCATTGTCTTTTGTTTTTGTCATTTGATCTACAAAGTAATCTGTATATTAGTGATTGTGACAATTATTGAACACGAGCATTTGAAATTATTTAACATTAAAATATTTTGTTAAGTTGAATAAAACTTTGATAAATAATTGATTAATTTTTATTTATTAAATTTTGATTCAATATTTTTGGGAAAAATAAATTTATTTAATGTATAAAGTTGAATGATCAAATCATATTTAAGATTTAAATTCTTATGGTGACTGACTGGACATATGTTAGACAAGCGACGACCCTCAAATCCGAAACTAATATCATTAGTAGATTGAGGTCTGTGAGCTGCTTCTATGTAGATCAACGAAGACCCAAAATTGTTAAAAATAAGAATGATTTCTAGGAAACACTGTTTCTTCAACCGATGGTAACTGTTATCTTTTCACTAATGGACCGCCCGACTCCAATCAGATACAGGCAATGATCCTAATAAGAACAGGTTTTTCAGAGATGTTGATAGTTTTCTATTTTACTAAGCCATTTTTTGTGAAAAAAATGACTTTTTTATATTTCTGAATGCAGAAAAGTTTGCTGCATCTAATGGTGCAAAAATCAACTAATTACCTCAAATAATAAAGGAGTAATTAGCGGTATTTTCCGACTAATTGAATTTTTTCTTATTAGGAACACTGTTTCTAATAAGAACAAGCTATGTAAAATGCACAGATAAAAAAAGATTTTTAGTAAATGAAGTTTTTCTGTATATAAACTTAAAAATTTTGAAAAACTTTTTGAACAAAAAATGTGTCTTATTGATCAACGACTTATCACTTTTGTAGAGCAAATCAAGCTCTATCCATTGGAGTATGCTCGATTTGAATAATGGAAAGTTTTCAAGAAAGAAAATTCAGAAAACGTAATAAGTCAGTTTTAGGCGTTTTTAGAGGTTTATTTAGGGGTATCTCAAGTCGATCCACCCTAGTCGAGCAAGAGTTAATCTTTAGATCGTGAAACTTTGGATTATTCTATAAAACACGTAGGTCAAACTTCCTAGGATATTAAATCCAAAATCTGTTGACCCTCATGTTTTCGCAATCTTTGGTTTTCTCGTGGAACGTCTTTTAAATTAGTTGATAACTTTTTTGTTTAATTGATTAATAATTATTATTGTTATCATTTAACTGGAAAACGCTTCAGAGGTGGGATCGATTCGGTTTGAATTTTTTAAAAAGCTAGATCGATTCGGTTCGATTCGTAAAAAACACGAACCGATTCTATCTCTTACACACTTAGATAAAAAAATATTCTCCTATTTAATTAACAATTTTTAAATAAATACTTCCTATGAATATTAAAATTAATTAGAACAAAACAAGTTTTTTTTATGAAAATAGAAACAATATCTTTTTACATATACTATTGTAAGAAAATAATCAATAATATAATAGATATTAATTATCGATGTATTTACATGCAATCGGAGAAAACCATATATTATTCTAATTTTTAACAATAATTAATTAAAGAGTTGGTTCATATTTTCTATGAAAAAGGTTCGACATAATTATTCGTTTGACCTATCGATCGAATTTCTTCTTTTGAGAGAGAATTAAAAATTTTATTTTATGTGTTAATTCAACACTTGATAGTGAATTTTGAATTCATAAACCTAATTTAATTTTGCAACGAGAAACAAAAAGAAGTCTATTGTGATAAAGAAAGTAAAATAAATATTTTATTGATTTAATCTTTAAAAATTTCTTCTCTTTTTATTTCTCTACATAAATAAAGAAAATTTCTTTTTCCTATGTGTTATGATGAATGCAGAGAAATAAAGTACAAGATAATCAAATAGATTGCCGTTTTCCTTTTGTATTCATATATGTTATTGCTTGATCTACAAAAAAAAAGACAAATATTAGAATTATTTAATCAATATATATATATAAAGTATTTACTATATAAAGCTTTCAAATGAACCATTCGCTGACGAAAAGTTTCACGACTGTCAATTGCTCTAGCAGAAGCTGCTTGTGCTGCTGCTACTGCATTTGGATCTAATTGACCAGATGCTAGTTGTTGTTGTAGTTGATTGTATTGTTCATTGAATTGATCAACTTCCCTTGAATATTGTTCATACTGAATACAAAAATGAATGTTCTTAGTTTATAAAATATGATGAAATGGTGAATCTTACCTGTTGGATTAACTGTCGTGCCTGTTGTATATTGACAATTCGATCAATTGGTAATTGAGAATAGTCCATTTTCTTTTTAAAATCACTTGATTTGCTTCGTATTAAACTCATAGTTTAATCTACAGAGAAAACGAAATAATTCAGATATTTTAATCGCGAATGTTTATTAAAAAATATGGAACATGTTATAGTAATATAAACGAAGTTAAGCTGAAACACGTATATATATATAGGACAACTAATGATAATTCGTTTTCTTTATTTTTCCTCCTATTTTATTCTATTTCTTTCTTTAAATTAAAACTATATCTATCCTTCAACGCCATCTTTTCGTTTGATATCAATGAAAAAGCACGTTAAACGAAGAACAATCACAATAAAAACAATTATTATTTCAATATGTCATGCAAGAAAATCCAAATTCCATAATTCAATCATCTTTATCAGCTTGGATCGCTGAATCAACACGTGGTTCAGATATTCTTTTATTTTCTAACATTTATCTTTTATTTTTATTTGAATTCTGTTAGTACATATCTATTGTAGAGTGCACACGCAATATAACTACACGTCTACATTTTGCAATGAAAACAAATAAATTAATAAGTAAACAAGAAAAGAAAAGCAATTATAAGTGATTGCTATGAGACAAATAGGCGTTCTTAAATCAATAATCATTTTTATTTTATTTTTCTTATGCATTTATCTATTTAATTTGAATTAAGCCATGTAGCATTTAAACTCTCATATAGTAATGATAATAATCATCTATATTGATATCTAGAATGTCTTTTGATTGATGGTAAGAGATATATAGATGCACTTGAGTCTGATGAAAGAATTAATCTTAGATTTGATAAAGTAAAATCTTCAATTAATTTAAATGAATATCTAATTTTTTATATAAAGAGTTATTGTTATCACTTATTACATGCTATTGAATATCTTCATCATCATCGTAGTATAGACACACACATATATATATTCTTTTTCTATAAATAATATATATTTTGATTTTGATTTAGCTTTGAAATCATCAAATATTTTGACTGATTATGCAGGTTAAATATTTTTATATTTTAACACGATTCAGAAAAAAGTAATATGTTACAATAGATCATTTAAAATTAGCTGATTTTGATTTAGCACATCAATATCATATGGTTAAACGAGCTTTAATACATGAAGTTGTGACATTATGGTATCGATCACCTAAAATATTACTAAATACACGTTCTTAGGGTTGATCTTATTCTTGTTTATATTCGAATCAAAATAAAGATGATTATTGTTTTCAGATACAGCTTTGGATATTTGGAGTTTTAGTTGTGTATTTGCTGAAATGATATTTGGAGAAGCATTATTTCGTCATGAATGTGAAACTGATCAATTATTACTGATTTTTCAATAAATATTTTTTATTATTATTTTCAATATTTGAGATATATATTTATACTCTTTTGTGGATTAACATAGGCTACGTTTACAGACTACACACAAAACATATCACCCCGGAGGGGTTTTGAAGGGTAGGTGTTCGGTGAATAAAATTTTATTCACCGAACACCTACCCTTCAAAACCCCTCCGGGGTGATATGATGTGCATAGCTGCTCTTTTCTAGTTTGCGTCAATCAGGCTCCATTCCATATTATACCGTTTTTTTCTTTTCGCTTCACTCACTATATATAACTATGATTACATCGTAATGACTTAGTATTATGCTGCGAAACTGTGCAATTAGCCAGTAGAGTTTTACAAATGTTTTATGTTAACTTCTATAGTTTTTCACTTATCCAATACTTTGGTATTTTACTGCAGATGATTAAATTTTACATGCTTTTGTTCGAAACAAATCCACATTTTTGCTATTTAAATTACTATCGACCTCTTCTTCATCGATATTTTGATTTAGGCATAGATCTAACTCATCAGATTACAATTTCATTTGTATTAACTATTGAATAAATTCTTCAATGTCCTCTATGTCTTGATCGTTTTCATGATCCATGTGCATTACCATTTCAACATATATATTGTTATTCATGTTTTAAAAGAATTATTTCATCGAATATTTTTTGTTCAATAATAACTTGTCCATTATGTCATCATATATTTCCATATGATAATTCAATTCAATTTTCTAAATCATATATTCATATGAAATTACTTGATTTAGTTCTAATTAATTATGATATTAAAGAAAGATGTGTAAAATGTAAAAAAATTCATTTATTAAATTTATGTTCATGTTATGATTATTATTTATGTAAAAAAATGCTTTAAAAATGATCGAGAAAATATATTAATTAATCTTAGAAATTTTTTTCAAACATGTCGGAATGTTCTTGATTCTATGCAAACAACACCATCATTAGAAATAAATCATTTGTTACATAAAACAGATTTATTATTATTAAACAATTCTGAAACAAGAGAATTTAATGAAATTTTATTCATTTTTGATCGGCTAAAGTCCGTTCATGAACAAATAAATACATTATCAATAACAATAGCAAAATGAACACACCAAAACGTCGTCAAACATGTCCAAAAATAAACGACACTAATCATAATACTAATTCCATAAAAAATGAGATAAAAAAATCGATAGTTATTTTCATGATTAATATTGAACATACATTCATTTGTCCCGTGTATTTAAATAATCTAGAGCGAAGAGGTTTAGTACCAATTGTTACTGACAGAATTTCAACTCAAAACTTTTAATTTGTTAGAATGTTAAGTCCGTAGCATTGTTTCTTTTAAAATCTATCAGAATACTGGAACGATATTTTTTATATAGATGATTGTTTGTCTATCGAGTAACTTTTTTTTATTTTGTTGTTCAGATTGTTAAACGACCAACAAGTGCTAGTAGTACAAGTGGTAATTCTTGTTGTCCAACAACAATAAATCAACGAGCTCGTTCGAATTCATCCTCTGCATCTATACCATTAGGTCGACAAACACCTATAACATCTCGTTCATCATTAAAAACAAAATCGAATAAACAAATAAATAATTCAAATTCAACAAAATCATCTGTTCCTTCTATTTCAACTCAAAGTTATTTATTAGGTAATGTTGATTTAGATGATGAAGATGATTTATTAACTAAATATCAATAAAAAAAAACTCCAAATAACAATGATGAAATTACATCAACAATGAATAAATTGAATTGAAATATTGAAACAATGATTAATACGAAATGAACTGCATATAAAACATCGTTTCATCATGGTGAAGAAGAACAAAATGATGATGATGAAGATCAAGTCATAGTAGTGCTATTCAATCAAAAGTTTCATTAGTTCAACCGAGAAAAATATGAAAAGAATTTTTTTGTTTTTTTTGATTTATTATTTGTATTTGTTTAGGATTTATATGATTTTTGAAAAGCTTGAACAGTATGATAAAGAACATTCATCAATGATCAGTACAGCATCTTATGTTGATAATGTCGTTTTTTAAAATAAGAGTTTTCTGTCATTAATTACGTATACGATATGGAATTATTCAATAATGATGTTAGTGATATCTTTCTTTCTTTTCTATAATAATATGAAGTGTTTACATCACACTTTCTAAGTATCGATAATTATATCATCTAGTCTGACTTGGTCAGCTGTTAGAACAACTGCTGTAGAATTAAAGTGTGAAATACGCTGAAGTTGCTTACATTATAAACGAGAAAAATTACCAACATATGTTCTGATTTGTGAATTATAACCTACTTCTAATACATGTCGATCGTAATATGTAACAGTGAGTGTGAAGGAGAGGCAAAGGACAAGAATCTTTAATTCAATTGCGCTTTATATTAATCCTGCAGTAGACTTCAGTTTAATGAATTGTGGTAAGAAGAGAGGCCCAAAAGTTTACTTCAACACTCTTGTTATTATTTTTGTACGTTTTTTTTTCATTTTATTGTAAATAAATAAAAATTCAGAGTGACTAAGGAAAGTGAAGAGACAAAGATTGTTATCAGGTATAGGAAAATATTAAACCAAGATAATGTTCGATTTTTGTAGATTCCGCTTTTACCATATATTCTCTGCAGAATACAGTGCAATTGAGAAAAATGAGGATCAATGGTATCAGTTGTATCTATAACTTTAATGGTTTATTTATCATGAAATAGCAATATGATTATAAGAACCTGGCGTTGTAGTCATTAGTAATTAGAGTTGTGCTATATTTTCTTATAATAGTTAAGATCTAAATAACATGTGAAGCATTCAGTATCACGAAGTAGTGTCCTGCAACTGGGTCAGTTCAGGTATTGGGTAAGAAAAAAATTTTCGATTCGGCTTCGGGCATGATCCCATACCGGAACCTGACCCGGCAATTAATGACATCAACAACTACAGTATATTTTGTAATATAAAAGCATAGTACGACAATGAAAAACTCCTGCTGAATGTCAATTACTGTCGATTGAATGCCGAGTACTGTTATTCAGGTTCGGATGCGAAAAGCCATAGTGTAGATCACTATCATGAAGTAACGTGTTACTAAAAAGCTCTTCTTTAATATGCCTTAGCATTATTTTCAGGAGAACGTTATCTGCAAAGTGAATGTGACATGTAATCGTCTAATCAAATTCCTTCTTTCTTTTAATTTTTATTTCACGTGATAATCGAATACATTCGATTTTTGATAAAAAAAAACCTTTATTTTAGGACCATCAGCCATCTAAAACAGTTGATATATTTGTTAATCGTTTAACTCATTATCATGAAGAAGAAAATGATAATAAACATGAAGAAATTCATGATTTATCAGCCAACCCGAATCGCATTCAACAAAGAGAAATCATTTGATCTAAAAGCAAAGTCGATGCTCGTATTGAACAATGAACAGTTGCAAAAACCATAACAAGTGATAATGACGATAATGATGATGAAGATCATAAATGGAATGATGTTGGCGTTGCTAAAGTTATTCCTGTTGTTGCTGATGAATATAATAGTGATAGTGGTATTAGTTGATTTAGAACTGATTTTTCTAAACAAGTACAACATCAACAAAAAAAAGATTAAGCTCGTTGATCTAATTTTGGTGATGATCATTCCTAGGCTGATCGTGTTACTGCTCTACCTCTTAATTCATTAATGCTCAATACATTTCCAGGTTTATGACACACCGTTAGAGCCCTGCAGGGTATCGATAACCTGCCCTGCCCTGCCCTAGCAGGGCAGGGCAGGGCCAGGTTAAGAAAATTTTCACAGGGCAGGTTGCAGGGTACGGATGTCGTAACCTGTCAACCTGTAACTAATTTTGTGAGCTAGAGATTGTCGACATCTTTTCAGAAGTTATACATTAAGAAGCAAGATAGAATTCAAAGTGAAAGTGAACTGAGAAATCAATTTAGATTGGTCGTTAAGATATTCAATAGAAACAGATTTATCGATAACTTATCCATTATATATTCTATAGCTATTCAAGTGTATATGTAGTCCTTTGTATTTTGAGTTTTATCTTCTTTTTTTTCTTCATTATTACAATTAAATAATATCTAAAATATCATCATCAATATCAATGCAATTTTCCTCTTACTGGAATATCAATAATGTCTAATTCAAAACAAGATATAGAACGAAAAAAGAAGACAGTATTTGAAGCCAGATATTGTTGATGATATTTTGATGATTAGAAATTTTCGAGATATATAGTTTTGTTATTTTTTGCTTTATGGTTGTAACAAATCGAATGAAATTGTATAATAAATTGATACAGAAATGTGGAATTTTCATTAATGTTAAAAAGAACAGGGCAGGGCAGGGCAGGGCAGGGCAGGTTAAAGGTTATGGAATAAAATCACAGGGCAGGGCAGGTTAAAGGTTATGGAATAAAATCACAGGGCAGGGCAGGGCAGGGTACGCGAAAAAATTCACAGGGCAGGGCAGGGCAGGGTACGCGAAAAAATTCACAGGGCAGGGCAGGGTCAGGTTGTCAAAATCTCAGCAGGGCAGGTTACAGGTTGTCAAAATAGCGTACCCTGCAGCCCTCTACACACCGTACCAACACCAGCATCTACTCCTCCTTCTCTTTCTCCACCTCCACCACCTATGAGTAAATCTAATCAAGATTATAGTCGTTTAATTCGTGAAAAAGCTAAAGAACTTAAAAAACAAATCGAACTTTTTGAAAAACAAAAATGCAAAATTACAATCTCTTTGTAATGAACGTAATTTAGCTATAAAAAAATTGAAACAAAATCGTGATGAATTTGAAAAAATTAAACAAAAAAGTGATGGAAGAATTTCATCAAATGAAAGAAGAAGAAATAAAAAAATAAAAACATGAAAAACGTTTATTTGAACAACATCGACAACAATAACGTGATCATCCAAATAAACGTGAACGAGAAGAAATTGAAACATTAAAACAAACAAGTAAAGAAAAAGAACTAAACATTTTATTGATCTTTATTTGTTTTCCATAGGTATTAACATTACAAGAAGATTTAAAACAACGTGAAACACGTTAGTCAACAACAATTAATCGTTTAAAAGGACGTATTGAAACATTAGAATATGAAAATGCTGAAATACAACAAGAAAAAGAAATTATCGAACGTAAACAACTTGATCTTATACATCAATTTCAAACAGTTTCTAAACAACAACAACAATTAGAAGAAGATACATCATCATTATCTACAACAAGAAAATCACTTGTAGAAATTCAACAAACAAAACCACGTCCAAAAAGTATTGGACCAATAACATCAAAAACTCAATCATTACCAAAAACAATGATAATAAGAAATTGTGAACCATCTATACTTAGGATTAACCAAAAGTTCGTAGAACGATGTTTAAATTTTTATAAAATACTTAATATCGAAAGATTTATTGCATGAATACGTAGTAAAGTGCTTCGTCTATAATTCTAACAGTCTTTCAGGTAAAGTCTATAATAGAGGGAATATATGAACATTCCTCGTCCAAGGTTCGAATATCTTTCTGAATTTTGTATGTTTT